TCATATCCTTCCAGAAGTTTATACAATGTTTGAAAAACTCAAAATAGAATTTAAATTTATATAAATTCTTGCATGGGTGTCAAGAAAGTTGAGTGGAGATCCTTGATACAGGACGCCAAAACATTTATGCCTGAATCTTATTTCAAGACACAAATTACCAAGATTTTCAATATAGCAACTGGATGCCTACTTGACTTAGTAAGTTCTTTATGTTAGGTTTTTTTCCAACATGATTTAATAATTTTATATGATGGTAATGATAATTTATAGAATTTTAAATGATGACATCCAAACAAAGAATGGACTGATAAAATATTTTTACTGCTGAGTTTAAATATGAGATTATTTAAGATTTAATAGACAGACTACACTGCTAAATTAATCCTTTGAAGTCAAATGGTAACTATAGGTACTACCTGCTATAACAATCAATAACTCTGCATTTAAATACAAAATGTATTTATGGGTTTCACATAAAAAAGTAAAGTTTGTCCCACTATATGCCATGTAGGCATTTGGGGTGAGTGGAGGTATAGCTCCTCTCTTCCTTGACCTCAGCACTACATGGGGGTGAGTGGTCAGCATCACGCCCCGGCCGGCTTTACCACCGGGAAAGGACCCCGGTACCCATTGTAGAGGAGGCTGGGTGGGCCCCAGAGCCGGTCTGGATGCAGAGGCTAGAGGAAAAATCCTCTGCCCCCGTCGGGGATCGAACCCCAGTCGTCCAGCCCGTAGCTAGTCACTATACTGACTGAGCTATCCCGGCTCATTGGTTCTCCAAATAAACAGCAATTATTTCCCTAAACAGTACTAACCATCTGGTCTTTGTAATATAAGTGTCTTCTTTGAGGTATGGACTGAATTCTTCAACATTATTTATCACAAGCACCAGATTCAGATGGCTAATTCATCTAAAAAAGTGTGAACATACACAGAAAATATTTAACAGAGGTTACAAAATAAGATACCAAGGTGGTATAGATGTCATACATAAAATGAATTGGATACAGATTATAAAAACAAATATTTAATCATGCATCAACTGCAAGAAAATGAAGGAGAAATAAACACAGTGGTTAGGAGGCTTGCATAAAGCAATGAAAAATCTTAGAAAGTAGGAGGCTGGAATGACTGGTCATTGTGATGCATGAGTAAAGGGAACCTGTGAAAATAGAAATACAAGACAAAATTACATTTTGTACATACATTTTCCAATTTATCCTCAGCATAATTATAGATTACAGTACCACCAGCATTCACAACATAAAGCTTACCAGCAAGTTCAATCAGTTGACCATCCAATGTTACCACTCGGAACCTCTGTCGTCCATATGCTATCCTTGTAGCTTGGTCCAGATCATTTGCTACCAGGGTATCTCTTAAAGCGTAATAGAATGCTGGCCGTACACATTCATCTTCCACCCTGATCAGGTCAAACAACCGTGGCACTCCCTCAGGACTGAAAACATCAATCTGACATTATTAAAAACTGAAAAATGCAACCAAAGAACACTGCTCCGCATATGAATTTGGCCTATGCAAAAGTCATCTTCTGAATGCGTCATTCAAATATGGTTAATAAACCATAATGGATTCAAACAACACATACCTGTAGTAAAAACTATTCATATAATGCAGAGTTATTCAATATATTTTTAAATAAAGTTGTTTAAAATAGTTGTAAAAATAAAAATAAAAAGTTATGCTGTAACACTATCAGTTTTGTTACAACATTTCGTAACAATTTCATACCAGAGAAAGAAATTATATTCGCCCACTTCTACTGGGAACATAGACTGGTGCTGTAGACTGAGCAAAACATGTATTCAAGACTCAAACCCCACCTCTCTCTCTCTCTTAAAAAGGGTGGGAGAAGAATAAAGGAAATATTTTACTTGCATCAGAAAATGATCTCGAATGAAAAATACTGTTGTATTCTTCAATATAACCATCTAAATCACCATAAGCATCATCAAAACCATGTTCCTCCAATATACCCACTGCAATAATTTATAAGAATGTCCCACATTACAAAGAAAAAATGAAACTGTTGCACATACTTCATGAAAGAAAAAACTGTCTACAAATACTTTCACATTTTTGTAACATGCAATACCTTACCAGCTGATAGGTGTTATGCACTTGTGACGCAAATGTTCCTGTTTCTCCAGAGCAATGAATGTGGCTCGTCCAATGTCATTCCTCTTGAGAAACTCAATGCACCGCTGTCCTGTATCCACAGTATCCACAACGATGTTGTCCAGTGGGCCACATGCAGTGGACACAGCCACATCATACTTCTGATCAATAGCTCCTAAATCTCCCTACAACAAATATTAACTGACTTACCATGATCCATATTATCAACTAATTTGACACATGCAACTTTCATACTGAGTGACACTATTCTCAACTTCCTGTTTATGAACAAAGCAATGTGAACAATACAAGAAAAGAGACCCGCCAGAAAAATCGCAGGCATGACCTCAGCCTGACTCACCAGTCTTCCAAATATCCCAGGCAAGTGTCCTTGCCGTTTCTGTTCCATCAATGAGTCGAGCACACGGCCACGTGACCGATTTGCCTGCATTGAGGACCTTGTTTCTTCCACCTGAGCCCTATGACATCGCAGTTCTGCTGACACTAATGCTTCATCTTTTTGTACTTGGGCCAGTTCCAACTGAATCTCTTGTAACTTCTTTTCTGTGTCTGGTATTCCAGTTGTCAGTTCTTCTATTTCACTATAAGCAGTACAGAGTGTACCATTTAAAATGCTACCCAACAACAATCACACACGATCATACAAAAAACGAAATCAGAAGCAGGGCCAGTCCCATGTAACACTCTCTCCCAACCTCCCCCATGACACAAGTCAAGGTCACTCTTTCTCCTAAGGCACTGCTCATACCAACTGACTGAAGTTGTGCAGGTGCAAACGTGGGGTAACACAAACAAAATGTCTGTGTATTATTATCTTACTTGGTACTTACACAACAGGAAACTTTTGTAAAATGCTTCATGGAGTAATTTTCTAGAATAAACACACATTCTGCTTGTGAATATATCATGTTCACACCCACTCTGGCCAGCAGAACATCGCTCTGCGTGACCTTGACTTGACTGTCAAGGGGGAGGCTGGAAGAGTCTTATTACATAGGGAGTGAACCACCTTCTAATTTAAGTTTTGTACTTCAGTATGTGATTGTTACTGGGTTGTGTTTTAAATGGCATACCCTAAATAAACAACAATATAACACTCTTCAGAATTAAACACATATTTTCTTCTGTAAACAAACAGTAAAACCCATATTTAACACTTTATTTTCATCAATATTTCAGTAATGCAGGAGTACTATGCATTAATCACAATATTCAGTTTCCTTTAACAAAAGGATTATTAGAAGCAGTTACTCACAGAACATTCTATTTTTGGGAGGCAATAAATTTAAATGGCATAAATGAAAATATAAAACACAGACATAAAGTTTGGAAAATCAGAATACTGTATGCAATGTTCATGTCGGATTTCAGCCCATTAAAATTAACAGTGTATTTATGCAGTGGAAATAACATCACAGTAACATTTGGTAAGAAGAGACATGGACTTATCAATGACTTACTTCTTTCTTCCTTTCACAGTTTTTGAAGCAGTCTCATAATTACTTCTTATTTGCTCCAGTTTTGTACGTTCTTTCTGCTCAGTACTCATATACAGATCCAACTCTGCTTTGGCAACATCATACTGCACAATAAAACACATATAACATATATATATAAATTATATCAGGTTAAATTCTTTTGTGTAACTGAGTAAAACCCTATAGACAAACAGATGAAAAAATAAATGGTACCTGAATCCATTGCAATCATTTTCTTTGCTAAAATGTGTTACAGTGTTGTCTCAAAAGTTAGTTGCTATGCTTTCAATGATATTTCACTTCAGAAACAATATAGGCCCAACATAAATCATTTCTTTGTAGCTATACATTAGTTCTATAGGGGAACAGCTATGTAAAGCTTATAAATCAAAGCTAATAATTTATTTTGTAGTACAATATACTCAATGGGTTTCGTAACCTTTACTGGCTCTATGCGCAACCTTAGATATGTACTCAGTTTACCTTAATTTATGTACAGTAATGATAATAACTTACAGCAGACTTTGTTTCATCTACTGTCTTCTTAAGTGCAATGAGCTGGGTCTGAAGTTTCTCCTTACTGTCTTGCAGCTCCTGTGTTTCAGCTCTCAGCCCTGCCATTGCTTTTTCCATGTCTGCTTTCTCTTTATCCAGATCCTTACTGAGTTTCTCTTCCCGAACAGTCAGCTCTGCAATATCACGCTCATTCTTTGCTGGCACAAGCTCCAGTTCATTCAACTAAACACAATGCAGTAAGATCTATGAGAGTCAAGCTACATAACTTTAAAATTAACCTATTTACAGGCAAGCCTGTTTCTAATGACTATGCAAAATCTGACAGGCTTTCATAAAAATGAAATAAATTAAACAGGATGTTCCATTTAAAATGTAACCCAAACTACAACACATGAACCCCTTCATGCATAAAATGATGAACAATGGCAATAATGAATTCATGCAGCCATATCCCATTGCTGCAGCTTATGCAATGCTTGAAATTGGTAAGGCCATAGTTTCAGCTGTTTTGTCACTCCATGAGCACTTGCCACAGGCAAATACTTCTTGCATCCCAAAATGCTGTTACCAGTTGGTGTATTACTGTCTTAAACAGTTTTTCCTTGTCATTATATATACTGCTAAATGTTTCATAAACAGCAGCAAATAATATCAGAGAAAAGTAATGTTCATGAATAAACACATATTCTAATCATAAAATGCCCTATTTGAACCTGAACATGTAAATTATATGCAATGGTGAACCGGCTTCTAAATATGTCAATATCAGTCATGGCAGACTAGTAAAACTTGTCACATCAATTAATCCTTCGAAGCCAAAGCTTGTTTATATAACATTTGACAATTCAACCCATACCACAAAGAAAACAGAACACTACTCCATTACAAAGATAAACTGGTTAATGCTGATTATGAAAATAATCCCTCTTTATTCAGAGAAACATACAAAACCTATAAATATAAAAAGCAAAGATACTGAATGTTAAAGCAGGTGGTACATATAATCTCCTCAGCTGTAAAAAGTTCAATGTATTAAAGACATAAAGGGGTTAATGCAGAAGAACATAGAAGTTCAGCATATGTTACCTTAACGCATTGAAAATTTGAAGAAATTTACCTATACTTTCAAAAGTTTAATATTTTCAAATAGGAGATCAAATAAGGTTCTCACAAAATTTAAGAATAACCTTAGCTAAAACCTGTGGATCTCATAAAATAAAACATGTACTTTCATCACAAACAATATGGACAGAGTTAATACAAATATGAATTATCCTTGTTATGTTAATTTTGACTTAATTTATTCCATATAAATTTAAAACTTGTCATACTTTTCTTTTCTCATCAACAAGAAGTTCCTTCATATTCTTTCTCTTCTTATTGGTTTGTGACATATTTGCTTTGATTGCCACATGATGCTGGTTCATCTTATTAAACTGCTCTGTTAATGTATCTTTCTTATTCATCAGTTCCTCCAAAACCCTGAAAATCAGGAATGTTAACACAAAAATATTAAAATTCTCAACCTGAACAAGGAACAATTTAGTGACCAAAATTAAATATTTAGTGATCACATACTTTAGTACACAAGTGAAAAACAAAAACTCTCTTTTTGGACAACAGAAATTATATTAATATAATAAACATCTGCAAGTATTTCAATTCTTTGTAAATTTGACCCAATTTCAAGTTGTATTAAGCGGGACATAAATCAGGAGAAACAGATTAACATTTACAAAAGAAAGTAGCACGAAATCTGTTCATTCCATAGTAACTTATTAACAAAACAAGTCCCATTGTTACCGCATATTTCTGTAATGAAAAAAAAGCATCTTGTCATTGATTTTTAATGGAAGTGTCTTGTGCAAACCTAATCTCTCATTTGTACACTAAACACTTCCTACACTAAACTGCTAGGAAATATGGTATCAGGATTTATTATATTCTATTCCAAATACTGAATTCATTAAATACCATCAATTCTAACACTCAAACAAAAAAAACAAATAAAAATGCAATATAAATTTGTGACCAAACTTTGTCTTTAAACAATAAAACTCTTAATTTGGATTCATGAAATAACCAATCAGATAGAAAGGTTAAATTACTTCCATTTCTAGTAATCAAAGACAGACACAAGTTGATCCATTTTGTGTAATGGTGAGATAACTACATGTGCTAGTGTTGCCCATGATATTTTACTTTGCTTCATGACTATATGCTGCTTCAAGGATAGACGGATAGAGAAGAGATCATGCATTCAGCACACTGATCTTAAATAAAAGGAAATTTGCAAGCTAATCAAAACTGCAGTCTGGCACAGAATGGCTGCCTAACTGCACAATCCATTCAATAACACACAAATCAAAATCGAATACAAAAAGTTTGGTCTCTCATATCATCATAATAAATTGTATCAATAAAAATTATAAAATTACAAAAGGTTCCAAAACTGCATTCACTTCATTTCCTTTAGACCTACTTAGTACACTGCTTGATAGCTTTGCTCTTCCCTTCCCTGGAATCAACAGCCTCCTTCATCTGTTTTCTCAGCTCAATGGTACTATCATCAATTGCTTTTTTCTTCTTCTCCAACTCTTCAGCGCAAAGCTCATTTTCATATCTACAACAGATGAATCAAAACCCACAAACTGGGCAACAACAATTTGTGGACACACTGGCATTTATTGTTACAGACTTTTACTCTTTGTATTATCTCATCAAATGTATATTAATAACTCTGCAAATTGTTGGCCACACAAAATCTAACTGTGTAATGTTGCAAGACCAAGTTAAGATAAAGTCTTCAGTGTTAGATAATTTCTAAATCTAGTCAGTCCACTTTCAATAATTTTTCAATCATTCTAAATTCAGTATTACTATAACCAGAAAATGTGATCAAGCATGAACTTTCATGCAATAACTAAAACTGCTACAAGGAACTTACATCAATTATATTAACGTGTGTCTTCTTTCCAAGTCGTCATCATCTATGGTGCTTCGGCCCATTTTGGGGCCATGACCTCCCCACTTAGAAGTATTCTTGGTCTTTTGAAGCATGCATTTGTGAGTAGTGAGTGACCAGCCCACTGACTCTGCACAATTTATACTCAATCCTCACTTGTCTGCCAGATCCATCTAGCAGTAAATCAGGAGACTTGGGTGAGAAATGGCTGCTGAATTTTGCTTATGAAACATCTTGTATCATGCTCATAAGGTTCTTTTACATGCCGTAAATCTATGACATGGGACCGCCAACTTTACTTCCACTCTGAAGGAAGTTGTGATATGGATTTTTATCACCCTTAAAAATCCATCGACCTCAGCCAGGATTGAACCTGCAAACCTTGGGTCCAGCGGCGAGCACAGTAACCACTAGTCCACTGAGGGCGACCTTCTTTCCAAGTACTGAAGATAAAAACTCTAATGGGGAACATCTTTCTGTGACATGAATGGACCATCAATGATAGAATTTGATCCTTGAAGGACTGCACACCAGTAGTATTTCAGTTCCAAAACTACAAGACATTCAAGGCCATGACAAGCCAAATGACAAGTAGCAGAAGCACATGTATAGCTCAGCTGTTGTTTCACATCAGAATTTTATTTTGTATGACATAAACGTGCACAGACTTCTTGTCAACACATACATTAAAATATGCAATTTATGCCATTCAATGATGGAACACTGGATTATTATTGTTAGATATCGAAATATAAAACGTCACGGGTCAAAGCTTTTTTGGTTTGGCTTCTGCTCCAAAGAAAAATCTGCCATGTGCTCCAGAACATCATACAATTTAAGAAAATGCTATCACAGACTTACTGGAAAATTCTTGCTCATAAGTATAGTACATGTTGCATAATTATTTCAAGACAAAATATCCATAACCAAAATGAAAGTAAATTCTAAACTGAGCACTATAATGCTTGTTTCATGTCTCCACATTAGTACAGTTATGTATGAATATATAGGCCCTTTCATGTTATTCACGTATGCAAGATCAGAATGTGAAGGGAAGTAATCAAGATGAACTGTAACATATCATCCTAAAGATCAGTTAATGGTTGCAGTGAAAGTATCACTTTGACGCCCAACCCATTTATTTACATTACAACACATCATCCTGGAAGTTGCCTGGAGAGAGGAACTTTAGCCAGAATACACAAAATACAAAGCAGAAATTACAAACTTCCAGCCTTTTAACTCATAGTACATACATGTATTTCTGGCAGACAACATTCTTTGTCTTGGCCATCTCGTTCTCAACCTTCACATATGCCACTGCTTCTTTCATTGGTCCTTCCAAAGCTTCCTTCTCCTTCTCAACAATCTTCACACGATTTAACTTCTCACTCCGTTCTTCATTCAACTGCTCAACCAGTGAAACTATCTTCTCCAAAGGCTCCTGCAAATAACACAGCATGGTCCACAATAAAACCAGCATAAAATTCCTCTTAACATTCCTTTCATAAATTACATAACTTAAACACAAAATGAACAGGCTGTGTCTATCCATCCTGTTTTCATATATTGCATCTCTAAAGCCACCTAAGAGACATTAATACAACATGATACTGGAGGAATCTGAATTAGAATGTGCCAACAAAATTTATATTTTGTTCTTATTAGTCCAATATAACCCCTACCTCATATAAAACTGCAAACCTTTCCTAGAATGTGGGTAAGGTATAAAAATAATTTGTACATGACATTAAATATAATATGAACAAGACCTACAATTTTTTATCCGAAACATTCAATATGATTAAAAATTAATGAAATACATGGAAAAATAATTCCTTCTAGCAGCAAATAAGTATGAAGGCCAATAAAGTAAGCTAATCATAAAGGATGCATTCTGAAAAATACATGCACCCAAAATGAGTACCCTTTCCACTCACTTTTAACAGTGAAAAAATTGAGTCTCCATTATATAGGTGCTGGGAATACAAGCTGATTCTGTAAGTTTCCTGTCTCACTTAAACATCTCACAATTTCATCAAATTTCAGTTGTACTGATGATTTTTAATAATTATTAACATAAACACTGTTCAATAGGAGCAGAGTTTTATGGTGTACATAGTGGACAATGATAACATGCATACTGTATTGATTCTATACACTTTCAGACACACACATAATGGTGTTATCTTTCAAAATAACCATACGTTTTTATTTTAAAAATGTTTGGTTACCTGTGTGTTTATACTTGAAGTTTATGATCAAGCCTGCAAAATTTCTTATAAAGTTAGGAAGGAGTCACCTCAAAAAACCAGGAATCAGAATATATAAACACACATACATATATCAGAAATTAAAATAACATTCACGTAAATTAATTTCACAATGCTAGAAGTTGCCACCTACACATTAGAATTCAAACTATACGGCGACAATTTTAAAATGTTGCATAATAATAAGCCAAGATACAAGCCCATGAGATTAATAAGCAGAAAATTCTATATGTTATCACGAAAATTTTAGGTACCATGGCAACCTGACAATCAAGATTTGTGCAGGCCTGTTTATGACTATAATAACTTGGATGCTACAGCTAACCTTGTATCTTGTAGTGCCAATTATATCCTCCAGAAACTCCAGCATGCCTGACTCATGTTCACTGGGTGCCTTAGGCTTCATCATGGCTATCTGTTCCACCTCACCCTGCAGGATCAGAAACCGGTTGTGATCCAAGTCAATGCCATGACTACGAAGTAGCTTTGCCACTTCTTTGAACTGCACACGGCATCCATTCACAGTGTACAATGATGTGTTGTCCTTGAAAGCTGTTCGAGCAATAACCAACTTCGAGTTTGGGACGAACTCAAAGTCATCTGAACCAGGCTTTAACATAAGTAAAGATCAACCATCACAATCAAGTTACCAATAAAAGAGACATGTAACCTCAACAAAATATTTCAGCTAATAAACAAATGAATGCATCAATCAATTTAGAAGTAACCTTACTATGTCTATGATTTGCTGAAAGTGTACTGCAACAGTGCAACTTTGAACATTCTGATGTTGTGCAGAATTGTGAAGCAGGACAGATATCTTCTTTGAACGGATCTTGCTGGCTCGGTAACCAAACACAAACAGCATAGAATCTATGACATTGCTCTTCCCACTGCCATTTGGGCCAACAATTGATGTAAAACACTGAAGGGTAAGAAAAACATCAACAAAGTAATTTGGGGTCCTTGTGACAAACAACAAACATTGTTTCATAGGTTTACATTATTAGTTGCATTAGATAAATCAGAATGGTTTACACTAACCCTTTAAAGCTGAAGCTCATTCAAAATAATATCTAAGAATTGTCTTTACCTCAAATAAAACACAGTATGCCTTGATGTTCTTCTACATTGTGACACTGCGTAGACTCATAGGCAGATACATAGCATCACAACCCAGAAGAATAACACTGTTATGCTGAATGGTGTGAAAACCTAAAATCTCACAACATGTGTCCATTACAGTCAATTGGCTTATGTTGTTTATGGGAAAAACTTCCTACTTACAGTAAGAATCATATGAAATCCATCAGTAAAAAATTGCACTTTAAAGTATGTTTCTGTTGTGTCTAGTATACACAAATAAAACAATTTTTTCTTGAATAAATGAGGGGGTTTATGGGTGTGTCAGCATCTAAGGCTATCTGTGCCTGTAATTTTGCCAGAAAAATTATATTATATGATGGCATTTGGGTGCATGCCAGTATGGCTCAAGCACTTAAATGTAAAGTCATTCTTTGATTTTACAAATATTTTGCTTCTGAGTGAACAAAATATATTAAATGTTCACTTCAGAACCAGAGACGGTGGTTCCAAAGAATATCAAATAGTGGAATAGCTCATATTTTATCTCTGGCCCAACCTAAGTATATCATGGGGAAAAAGTTATATAACCTACACGGCATACGGAAATTCTTTAGGTGTAATATTTTACATGAGGGTGCGTAAACCACTCGTAAATACCTTATGGAAAGGCCCAAGGACCTGCTTGCCGGCGTAACTTTTGAAGTTCTCGTTTTCAATATGAGTGATAATTAGTCTTGGGCCAATAGTTTCATTTGAACAAACTGGTTTCGGGGGTGGAGGGATATAAATATCTCCTATCCTCAACCCGTCTTCATCTTCTGAAGGATCCTCCTCTTCACGAATTTCAGATACATCCAGTGATTCATTTCCTTCCAGTAAGTCATCCTGATGCTGTCTTTCTTGATCTTTATTACTGATCAATTTATCCTTTTTCTGTGACATTTTCGCTACAAGCATGCCAGGAACACAAATTACCTTGTAAAAATTAGTGACATTAGGTTAGGTTTGATTAACAAAACCTGCACTCATTCTTCGTAATTCTTACAATCATAAACACATATTCCTAGTTTACAAACTTTCACAAAATTCTTCTTCTTCATCAACCACATCGTACTTACCGATTAATTGTAATTATGCACAAACATTCACATTATACAAGAACTTAAAAATATTGGCGGGCTCCAATATATTAAAATGAATACGTGCAAAACTGGCATAATAAGCAGCAGCGGTCGTCAACATCATCATAATATGTCACAGTGTAGTACATTGAGTCGTGACCTACTTTATTGTAGCCGATATTCTGTGATAGCAGTGTACCAAGAGCTGGAATTAAATTAAGCTTTTATGACGAACTTTGTCCCTCTAGAATGATATAATACCTTAATACTTCCCACATTACATAAATCACAAATTATGACTGTAGTAGAATGCATGCAGCTTTACTCTCATGCCCCTAGATGTCATCATAACACAATTCTTGCAGGAGCAATGCACACTCATATTTGTACTCCATGTTATATGTACAGATATGCTTATGCAAATACTCTGTTCTCTAAACATAAATACTCTGTCATCCAAATACAACAATGGATGCATTGTAACTTTGAGCCTGAGCTACAGGACAGTAACTGAAGAAGAGAAGATGCATAAGGCAAGGGGAACCATGATAGCAAACCATCTGTCTGAGAATGATTAGTATGATAAAACCATTTTTCCCCTTTTAATTTCAACACACTTGGTGAAATTTTCATACACTAAGTTCCACACTACATTATTTGTAAACCAAGGAATACACACGCCTTAATCCACATGTGCAACTCCTACAGCCTAAACACAATAATTTCACATCCAATAGTACAAGGATTGGGTTAGTTCTCTGTGTGTACTAGCACTTTGTGGTCTTCCTCTACCCTACACATGTATTTTTAATAGTCAACAAAGCTTGGAGTTATTTTGCATTCACTCTCCACTTGTTCTGATAAGAATTTTTCTGCACACTTGAATTCATTACATTACCATACTTGAAGAGACATGTCTTGCTAATTAATTATTTATTTATCTATTATAATAACTAAATTTTCCTTTGACCAGTGTTTCAGTGTGTACAGACTGTCAATTTCCTCCACACACACTGAGGTTTGTTTGTAGACAAATCTGGGCATTTATGGTCCCCTTTAGGTAGATAAGAATTTTACCCACATATACACACACACTATATATATATATATATATATATATA